TATAGAGCTTTTAGGGTGTTGTTGCCTTGATGTTAGTACACAACTCCCATAACCCAACAGCCAAAACCCAAAAAACAAATGTGGCTACCATTTACAATAAGCAAAACCCAAAAAAGCCCCATTCTGCCTACCATTTACATAAATGAAAACCAAAACATGGTAAGCAGTTACAAAAACCCAGTTTGGTAACCACAATCCAAAAAAACAGTGCCTTTGAAGTGTGTGTTCAGTTCATGTTTGAAGATAAGTACTCATCTGCATCTTCAGTGCTGAACTCAACCATCTCTTCATTAGTTGTAAAAATCTGATCTCCAACCAGTGTTGCTGCCTTTTCAATTAAGGCTTGGTCTATGTTCAAACATTTGGGCAGATTCCCTTCTCTGGCTAGTCTGTCCTTCCCCATGTGTGGCAATTTGTAGTTGTTGTTGCCTTCATGTTCCATTACTTTAGTCATTACTTGCTGGTAAGACAACCAAACCTTGTTTAGACATTCTGGACTCAGGGCATTATATGCTCCCTCAACAGCCTCTATCAACTCAACCACAGTAGTTGGAGCACACTGATCCTTTAAGGACTGGATGGCTCTAAAGAACCCAAGAGCTAGCACATTTAAGTCAGGAGAGTTGGGAGGTTGATTGTTTAGAGTTATGTGAAACCCATTTCTGTTTGCTGCTGCCATAAAGTCACAGTCCACTCCTTGAATATGTGGCCTTGCATGATCTTGCTGAATATGTATGTCTTTTGACATCTGTGTTGGCCATTTTTCATGTATTGCTGGAATAACTGTGTTTATCAGCAAGTCCTTTGTTACTTCTTTGGTAACACTGGTAATTGGTTTAACCTCCATAACTCCTTTTGGCCTATTTTTGCTCTTCCTTTTGGCTCTTAAATTTTCTGTGAAACTGAAAATGCCAATCTTGCCATCCCATAACACTTCTTGATTTTCCCCAAACAGTGGTCTCCCAACCACACAGAGAAACATTACTTTAGCAATGAACCTTTTTGATTTACAGGCCCTATATGGGTCCAGTTCATCAGGGAGAAGGTAAACTTTTGAGACGTTTTGGACATAAAGAACCATTTCTCATCAATGTGTAAAACATTCTCAAAAGTCTTAAACCTAGGGTGCATTGGCATGGTATATGGGTCAACCTGATCTAGACAGAACCTCAACCTTGAAATTTTATTAGCATCTGAAAGGTACGGTTTAATAGCATTAAAATGGCTCCTAAGCATACCTTTTTTAATCCACTCATGCACAGTTGACTTAGGCTTATGGATGGCAGCTGCAAGTGATCTTATAGTAGTCCTCTGTCTCAGGGGAGTGTCTGTTATAGCCTTTACATCCATGACGGCCCTTTTTCTGCCACTTTTTCCTGCCATTCTATTCCTGACATCAATGGCAATGCCCAGCTCTAATTGTTTCTTTGCAATGGCCCATATGCTACTGACTGTTCTTGTAGACACTTTAAATTGTGTTGCAAGGTTCTTGATCTGTCCATACTGAGCTGAGTAAGAACCATCGGGGTTTTCGTTTGAATGTGAAAGTAACGCCTCGCTTATAACCTGTCGTGTTACATTGTCTAATTTTTTGGTGTTATATGCAGGCCGCCTGGACATCGGGATGAAAAAAGGAAGAGGAATAAAGCTGAATGTGAAAGGATTGTTGAAAAGATTAGGAAGACAAAGATGGAGAAGAAAGGGGAGTAGTGCTGNAATGGCCCATATGCTACTGACTGTTCTTGTAGACACTTTAAATTGTGCTGCAAGGTTCTTGATCTGTCCATACTGAGCTGAGTAAGAACCATCGGGGTTTTCGTTTGAATGTGAAAGTAACGCCTCGCTTATAACCTGTCGTGTTACATTGTCTAATTTTTTGGTGTTATATGCAGGCCGCCTGGACATCGGGATGAAAAAAGGAAGAGGAATAAAGCTGAATGTGAAAGGATTGTTGAAAAGATTAGGAAGACAAAGATGGAGAAGAAAGGGGAGTAGTGCTGAGTGTTACTGTAATAATCTTGGGGAGGGGGTTAAATAGCCTGCAAATGGATTCAAAATTGATGTATTTGGAGGAAGTATTGGGCGGCATTCCAAAATAATTTGGGGGGAATGCCTAAATTTTGTTATGTAATCATGGATTTGATGTATGATAATGATTGAAATAGTGTAGTTGGTGTACTTTGCTTGCTTTCAATGTGTTCGGCCCCTTATTTCTGTTCTTTTTTTTCCTTCATTAAGGGTAATTTAGTCATTTCATTCCTTATTCAACCCTCCACTAAAAATGAGGAAAAGTCAAAGTAGGAAGCTTTTTCCCGGACGGAGGGAGTATTACCCTTGTAACGTATGTCATAACCATTTTATGGTTGCTATTAATGATATAAGATTCCATCTGTATCGTAAGAGTTTCGACCTAACATACAAGTAATGGAAATGACATGGAGAGTCAGATAATGTTGGTAGCTCTAGCTATACTTCTAAGGAACAAGTAAAAGCTAATTAAGATGATATTGACGATATCTAGGGTTTTGAGACTGAAATAGAGGAAAATGAGTTAGGGTATTGACGATATACAAAGTTTTATAATCGTTTTCATTTCATTTATTTCTTTTTCATGATAATCAAACTTTTTGTGACATTGTTTTTATTTGTGCAGCTATGGCAGACGGACAGAAGAAAAAGAACAAGGTTAGAGGCGCATGGACATGTGTGAAGCTATATAAGAGGAAGAGAGAGCTGAGGGTCACGCGCTTATAGAGCTTGTGTGGGAGGTTGGATCACCTATCCGTGGTGAGAACTTTACGGATTTCATTCGCTTATAGGGTTTGAGGCCCGTTTGAGAGTGCCGATTGTATACCTATGATGACTGGTGAGAGGTCCCGGCTGACCTAAAGGTCACGATACTAGACGATATTCGCATATGTAAAGTTTCTTTAAAAGAAAAATTACCTTATCTGCTAACTTTAATTGCTATATATTTGTATTGATAATAATTTATTGTCTCATTTTCTTGGAGACTATATATCATATACCTCCAGAGGTGTTGAGCATGTCATGAGGGTTGCTGGCTGGGGAGAGATTTCGCGCCTTCAGAACATATTTATGATGGGCTTATTTGGCTGATGGCGGGAATCATTACGGTGTCAGTCCCGTTGATCATTACACATGTATAGATGAAGAGCACCGGGCGGAGTTCAAGACCCAGCGTGAGAGTCTAGAATCTTAGGTAAAATAAAATGTTTTGAAATAGATTGATCAATAATGGGTGATGTATTAAACGATAGATTTTAACAATTGTTTTTTTAGACCCTTAATGAGAAGAACAAGGAGCGGGCAGAAAAAATTCCTTATCAGCACTATATGGGCCTGGGTGGATATTCCATGCTTGAGCATGAGCTGGAACTTTCTAGGACCACCAATTCTGCGGATGTCGCTACTACATCATCGGCGACGACTACTCAGCTCGGACGGGAGGACTCCCCTATTGGTTGATAGGTCACACCTCGAGGATGAAGCAAGAGGTTATTGACCTTAGACTTATGGAGATTCATGATAGTATAGTAAGCACATACTCTACATTTATGTTAATATTAGTTTATTATTTGATTATTATTTGCCTATAATTCCTTAAAATTTTTCATTTCTTAACTTTCGAAGGTCCAGCGGAAGTCAGAAGTGGCATCCGGTACCTTTGTTATAAAGGGGCACAACGATGTACTGACTAGGGCTTTAGGGAACGCTGAGAACCCAGAGCGGACGAGGGGTGTTGGGTTCCGGAAGGATTTCAACGATAACCAGAAGACTTTCAAGCCCGAAGGGGGGTACATGACTAGGCAGGATCTTTTGCAGTGCCTCCCTTCCCTTTTGCAACAATATGGACATCAATGCTCGAGGGTGCTACAGAGTTTTGATCCATGTCGCATCATACACCCCCTAGAACCTCATCATGGGTAGCATAGCATCAAGGCGTCCATATATTTTGTTGACTTCAGCAACCTCACATAGGTACATACTACGGAGTATAATTTAGGTTAGAATTTATGTTAGTGTTTACTTCTTTCAAACTTTTGTTTACTAATTTTTTATAGCTTGTTGCTTATTACTTGAGGATTTTTGATCTAGTCGATTTTGTAGTCGCACATGGATCGATATCGATTTTCCCCTGTGCACCAGGAGATGTGGTGCACGGTGTTCCCCTCCTTCCTTGTCAGGTAAGATCTTTGTGACCTTTGTGCTTCCTGGTATGAGTGAATATATATATAACATTCCTTGTCTGGCTGAGCATATGGAGATGGTATCTGATTGCGAGGGGAGCTTCGTCGCATGGACGAAGTCATTGTGAAAGTCGGTTTATACCCGGTGAATTAGGGTGTTTGAAAGTTTTTCGTAAAAACAAAAACTTAGGCGTTAAGTAGTAGCTGAAAAAGAGCAAGAAAAATAAAAAAGAGAAAAGTACGACACAATCGATTTTATACTGGTTCGGGAACTCTCTACTCCAGTACCTCGAGGCTCCTCCTCAAGGATTTAACCTCCACTAACTTGTTTGGCTTCACTAAGAAGACTCAAACGAGGTTTGGCAAACAACCCTTGCCAATAAGCAAATGAGATTTTATACCGGCTATCTCAACTGTTTACAACCGAAGATTTAGAGGCTATCTTCAACCTTACAATGAGGATTTAAAGGCTATCCACACCTCTTACAAAGTAATGAAAAGTATTTGTTGCTTCTCTACCAAAGTAATAGATAATATGATTGCTTGGGTAGAAGAAGAATGAAAATATAAAAACAACAACAATTGGCTATGAGCAAGATAAGAAGATGAAGCACAAAAGCCCTTGGTGTGTAAGTGTTAAAGATGTAAAGATCAAAACTTTAAATTCAAAAGAATACAAAAAATCAAAAACTTTAAACCTTAGAACACACAAATGATCAAGAATGAGCTTATAGAATGTAATGTATGTTTAGGAGTGTTGTTGTGTGTTTAGGAGAGGCTTAGGAGGGGTATTTATAGTGGTTAGGAAGTTTAAAATAGGTTTGAACTATTAAGGAGACTTTGGGAGACAATTTAGGTTGATTGGGATCAATTAAATCAATTAGGAACAGTAACCCAATGGATCTGGTACTTGTAACGGTAGTCAGGTACCGTCACGGTAGGGGGTACCGTTACTGACGGTATAGTGTCCCGTGAGACGTCCTGTTTGGAAGTTCTTAAGCTTCAGGCGGTACCTAGGTACCGTTAAGACGGTATGGGGTACCGCCACTATGGAGTTTGGGCTGAACTTCCAACTTTACGGTCGGTAGTCTTTTGGTAGGGGGTACCGCCTTAGTTCATTTTGGGCTGAGCTAGGTTACTTCTGTGTTTTCATCAATCATTTGAGGAAATTAAATAAAATAGTAGTATCACCATTTATTTTGCTAACCTTTTTATATAATTTTTAAAAATAGAAGTTTTATTTTGTATTTTTTATAAAAATTTTAAATAAAATGAATTAAACAAACATTTCACTTTGTCTCATAATTCTAATTGTCCTAACTCCAAATCGGGGAGAAGAGGAGTAATAGTTTTATTTAGGGGTGAGCGTGGTACGGTATTTGGTTCGTACCGATACCGTATCAAATATTTCGGTTCGATATGAGATTTTACATTGTACCGATCCTGAACTATCCGTTCGGTATAGTCTGGGATGGTTCAATTTTGATAAACATTGGGATGAATATATGTAATCGTACCTAGTTTACACTTTGAAATGTATAAACCTCTTTATTTAAAAAAATGATTGTGCATTAAAGAAAGATAAAAAAAATTGAAAAATGAATAATTAAATGCAAGAAATGCTTATAAAACTTAGTTTAATTTATAATTCGTATTTCACAAACAAACGAGAGAAAATAATAACAAAATACTCCCTCCGTCCCTAAATATTTGCAACATTTGCTTTTTCAGCAGTCGCGAAAACTTTTGTTTATATCTACGTTTTCATTGGTTCTTTGATAAAATAAAATATTCTTGACGCCTCCTATTTCGAAGAACTTTTCATGTAGTTTTTTGATATGCAAACTTTATTTTTTATTTCTATACCACTATGTAAATAAAATGAATTGAAAAAGTTTGATATTTTACCCCGAAAATATAAGTGTGACAAGTATTTAGGGACGGAGGGAGTAGTATTTCAAATGTTTGTTAATTTTTTTATATTCATCTACAAAAATATTAAATTCAAATAAATTTATTATTTAAATAAAATATTATTTGTAATTCATCTACACTTGGACCAAATTTTCAAAATCAATTTATAATTTTTTGAAGAAATATGAAAACATTATTATTTTTATAACATATTTGTATATATGTTCGGTTCGGAATTTTCCGGTATGAAAAAGTGCTTTAAATCGATCCCAAATACCGGACCGACCATTCGGTGTGGTACGGTACGGTTCCTTTATCGGTTTGATATTTTTCAGTTCAATAATATCAATTTTTTCAAAAAATTTCGGGATTGATTTAGTACTTGCTACCTTAGTTTTATTGGGTAGATGATAGCTTCGATGCAAGTTCCTCTCATCATCACTCATCAGGTGCTATATGCTACAAGTACTACTCGTAGTACATGATGAGTTGGGAAATCTTGATAGGTTATTATGGTTAGACATGGTGGGCACAAATATGTGGGTGGATTTTTATGTGCTGCTCCACATCTAGTGTAATAGTAACCCTAACTTTTAACTACAAAGGCTCCCAATTGTCACCTTAAAATAAGTTTCATACATTCTCCTAAAATATGTATGATTGAAAATTGTTTAATAGGTCCTTATATATTTTTAAAAGGAAAATTTATCTAAATAGGACCAAAACATAATGACTTTCTCAATATAAGATCATATTTCTTCTGTTCCATTAAACACTTCTTATTTTGACTTTGGGCCAAAATAAAGAAAGTGTAATTTTCGTTAACTTTCCAATTTTGTCTTTGATGTGATAGGTAAAAGTAAAATGTGATAGTTTGGTTATTAGTAAAAAAATATGATGTGATAG